GATCCTAAGAATTTTGGAGTTATAATTTATCTGAAACCAAATAAAAACAGAAAACCAGGGAAATAGTTGATTTATTTTATGTTTAATTAGATCATTAGCCTGAATTCCTAAATCACTATGTAGTTTTGAAAAGACATTTATTTTTAAAATTTATTTTGTTATTCTTATCTTCAACTCAAAATTAAAATAATAATTATAGTTTACATATCTTTTAAGTATATTTAAATATAAATTATCTTATTCTGTTCAATGAGCACAGACAATACAAATGAACATTTTTATTCATTATGTTTTTAGGGAAACCCAGTGCCATACTGTCCTTTAAAATATGTATTACAGAAATGCCGAGATAACTATCGATCTGAGCAGTATTGGCCATCATTTATTCAAAAGTACACATAACATTACATATAAATGACATTTTAAAATTATTCTTGAAATACATGCAATGAAATTATAATTTAAAATTCCATTGATTCTGAAACCTAGTTTCCAGAAAGTATAGTGATCCCTCTAAAAACCAGCCATTTTATTTTATTTATCTTTATTATTTTGTTTGTAGAGACAGGGTCTTCTGTAACCCATGTTGTTCTTGAACTCAGCTATATAGCTGAGAATGACCTTGAGCTCGTGACCCTCTTACTTTCAATTCCAAAGTGCTGGAATTCCAGGCCTGCACTGTCAAATCTAGCTAGATTTTGTGTGTGTGTGTGTGTGTGTGTGTGTGTGTGTATTGCTGAGTGTTGAACTTGGAGCTCCACAAATGCTCGACAAGAACTGTGCTGTTGCACTGTTCCCCAAACCCACAAAACCAACAGCTTTTATTTTGACTATAAAATGGCAAATATTTTTGTATATAGTTCCTTTCTATGTAGCTCATTTTAAATATAATAAATAAAACAGAGAAAAATGAAGGCAACAGTTTTTTTCATAATACCTGTATTTTTTCCTTTCCTTTCCTTTTATGTGTTTATAACTATGACTTTGCAATCCATACAAGGTAGAGAAAAGCAGAGAAGTTCCACAGGATAACTTGACCATCCGCTCTCTCAGTGTGACACCATGGAACTTCTATGCAGAAGACCTCAAGCCCCTGGCTCCCTAGGATCCTCTTGTCCTTCTGATTTTGCCAAGATTTCTGTTCTGTTGTTACACTAAGCACAGCCTCTACAGGTGCTCTGATGATTATCATGAATAAATATTCATCAGGATGAGAAGTAGGCACATCAGTGCTTTTCTTCTCCTTCACACCATATCACCCTCTCCTTTCCATATGCCAGGTCCTGGGCTTGGTGCCACAGGACTTATGTTTTACAAAATCTTAAAGCATGCAGATACCAACCCAGGCTATTATAACCATCCAACTATCAGTTGTAATAGAAAGAAAAAGAAAAAATTTCCATGATAAAACATTTAAAAATTTACAGGCTGGAGAAATGGCTCAGTGGTGAAGAACACTGGCTACTCTTGCGAAGGACCTGTTGATTCACAGCACCCAGATGGTGGCTAACAACCGTCCATAACTCCAGTTCCAGGGGATCCAACAGCCTCTTCTGACTGCCACACACATTGCATGACACAGGTGCACTTACATGCATGCAGGCAATACACTCATACATATAAAATAAAAATGCTAAATAAAATTTTAAAATATTTTAGAGAATTTACAACCCTTGAACTAACTCTACAGAGAATTCTGGAAGGAACACTTCAGTTTTAAGAGAAGGTTAAACACACCCACCAGAGCACAGGGAATAAACAATTCCAAAAGTTATCCAAAAGAAAACATTACCACAACAAAATAACAGGAGTTAGTACACATTTCTCAGTAACACCTCTCAATAACAATGATCTCAATTCCCCAAGAAAGAGACACAGACTGACACAATGGATTAGAAGCAGTATCCATCTTTCTGCTGCACTTAAGAAACACACATCACCTTCAAAGATAAGCATCACTTTCTGGTAAAAAAATAGAGAAGGTAAATCCAACAAACAGAACCAAGAAACAAGCGGGGGTAGCTCTTCTAGTATCCAACAAAAGAGACTTCAAACCAAAGCTATTCAGAACAAGTAAGGAAGGACACTTGCTATTCATTAAACAGAAGATTCGCCAAGAGAATATAGCAATTCTGAACATTTATGACCAAACATGTGGGCACCCAGAAAGAAACGCTGTTAGACCTGAAAGCTTTGATTGACTACAACACAGTGACAGCAGTGACTCCATTAACCCACCCTCATCAACAGACAGATTATTCAGACAAAAACTAAACAGAGAAACCCTGGAATTAAATGTCATTATAAATCAAATATGTATAACATACATCTATAGAACATTGCGCCCAAACACTAAAGAACGTACTTCCTTTTCAGCAGTCAGTGGAACTTTCTCCAAAATCAACTAAATATTAGAACACAAAGCGGGTCTCAACAAATAAAGGAAGATTGTAATATCCTGTATTCTGTCCTAACACAAAGGAGTCAAGCTGCACTATCAACAGCAACAGAAACTAGAGAAAGTACACAAACTCCTCAGAACCAAACAGAACACTATTAAGTGAAAAGTGGGCCAGGAGAAGTCAAGGGGTAACTTAAGGGGCTGGAGACATACCTCAGTGGTTAAGAGCACTCAGTGCTTTTGCAGAGGACCAGGGTTCAGTTTCAAGCACCCACATGCAGCTGACAACTGCTGGAAACTCCAGTTCCAAGGGAGCTGACACCCACTTCTGGCCTCCATGGGCAATGGACACACATGATGCACTTACAAACATTCAGGCAAAACATACACATAAAAAATAAGTAAATCAAAAAACATTTTTAAAAGGAAATTTAAAAATTGCTGGAATTGAATGACAGTGAAAACAGAAGACACATGATCTATGGGACACAGTGAAGGTAGTCCTAAAGGAAAGTTGACAGCACTAAATGCCCACATCAGAGAATTAGAGACCTCTCACATTAATTACTTACTGATATATGTGAAGAACTTTTGAAAAATAAAGACAAACAGCTGGGCATGGTGGCGCACGCCTTTAATCCCAGCATTCGGGAGTCAGAGACAGGCGGATCTTTGTGATTGTGAAGCCAGCTTGATCTACAAAGTAAGTTCCAGGCCAGCTGGGGCTACAGGGAGACTCTGTCTCAAAAAGACAAAAAAAACACACGAAAAAACAAGAAAAATAGGAACAAACAGCACTATAAAGTATAGACAAGCAAACAACTTAAGGAAATCAATGAAAGAAAGAAGTTCTTTGAAAATGTTAACAGAATTGACAAAACTTTTAGCCAGTTTAACCAAAAGAAGGATAGAGGAACCAAATTAACAAAATCAGAGATGAAAAGGGAAGCATTACCATGGAAACCAAGGAAGCTTGAGGATTATAAAACCATAGTTAAAAATTTTATAATCCAGAGTTGGGGATTTAGCTCAGTGTTAGAGCATTTGCCTAGCAAGCACAAGGCCCTGGGTTCGGTCCACAGCTCTGAAAAAAAAATTTATAATCCAAAAAAATGGCTGAATTTTTAGATATATTTATGGCCTACTAAAGTAAAATCAAGATGACATAAATCATTCATTCATTTATTTTGTGTCTGAGGGTTTGCCTGCATACATGTAAGTGCACCCATGCATGCAGTGCCTGCAGAGACCAGAAGAGGGTCTTAGATCTGGAACTGGAGCTATAGACAGTTTTTAGCCATCATGTGGGTGCTGAGAACCAAACCAGGTCCTCTGCAAGAGCAATCAATGCTCTTAACCACTGAGCCATCTTTTCAGCCCAGACATAAATAATTTAAGCAGACCCACAACAAGCAGTGAGTTAGATGCAGTCATTAATAAGTCTCCCACCTAAGAAGACTAATACCAGATGGATTCAGCACAGAATTCAACCAGACCTTCCAAAAAGAACTCACATGAATACTTCTCAAATTATTCCGTAAAATGGAAAAGGGAGGAACACTGTCAGATTCTCTTTATGAAGCTAGTATTACCCTGTTACCAAAAGTAGACTAAAGTTCTAATAATAAAAGAGAAAAATAACAAGCCAATCTCTCTGATGAGCATAGATGCAAAATTCTCAACAAAATACTTGCAAATAGAATTCAAGCCCACATCAAAAATCATCCACTGTGATCAAGTTGGCTTCATCCCAGAGGTGCAGGGATGGTTTGACATACGTAAATCAGTAAATATAATCCACCACATAAACAAACTCAAGGACAGAAGACCCAGGATCATCTCATTAGATGCAGAAAAGACTCACAAAATCCACCATCCATTCATGATAAAAGCCAAGGAGAATCTGTGGGTACAGGGGACATGTCTCACCATAATGAAGGCAGTGTACAGCAATCTCACAGCCAACATCATATTAAATAGAGGGAAAATTCAAAGCATTTCTACTAAAATCAAGAACAAGACAAGGATGTCCACTGTCTCCTTTCCTGATCACTGTAATGCTTAAAGTTTTAGCTAGAGCATAAGGCAAGTGAAAGAGACAAGACGTAAACTGGAAAGGCAGAAGTCAGTGTCCATATTTGTAGATGATATGATTCTATACCTAAGGGATCCTAAAGAGCCCACCAGAAAACTAGAACTGATAAACATATTCAGCAAAGTAGCAGGTTACACAATTAACACAAAAAAATAAGTAGTCTTCCTATAAACCAATGGCAAATACACAGAAAAAGAAACCAAAGAAACAATTCAATTCATGATAACTTCAAAAATGGATGGATGGATGGATGGGATAGATAAATAATCTTGGAATAAATTTGGCCAAATGCATGACAGACTTGGCTATTAAAAACTTTAGATGTTGAAGGAAGAAATTGAAGATACCAAAGCAAGGAAAGACCCCCTGTAGTCATGGATTGATAGGAATAATCTAGTGAAGACAACCATTCTACCAAAAGCAATGTACAGATTCATATTATCCCCATCAAAGTTCCAACACAGAACCTGACATGGTGGCACATACCTTGAATCCCAGCACCCAAGAGGCAAAGACAGGTGGAGCTCGGTGAGATAGAAGTCAGCCTGGTCTATAGACTAAGTTCCAAGGCAGGCAGGGCTACATAGTGAGGTAGTGTCTAAAAAACAATTTCAACAATTTTTCTTAGAAATCAAGGAAAACAAAAACCCTACCTCTTATATATGAAAACACAAGAAAACCACGATAGCCAAAACAATCCCAAACAACATAAGAGCGAGAGGCATTACCATCCCTAATTTCAAATTACATAAGAACATGTAGTAATAAAAACAGCATGGTCTACCATAAAAACAGACACATTATAAGATAACTGAAGGCTCAGAGTTCAGTCCACCCACTTGCAGCCCCCTGATTTTTGACAAAGGGGCCAAAATTATACACTGGAGAAAAGACAGCATCTTAAATGCTGTGCAAACTGGACAGCTACGTGTCGAAGAATGACATTAGATCTGCACAAAACTCAGCTCCAAATGGATCAAGAATGTCAAGAAATAAGACTTGATACCCTGAATCTGATCAAAGATTAATTAGGAAAAACAAACTTACAAGTAAAGAAAATTACTTTCTGAACATGTCCCTGAAAGCATACGCATTAAGTACAACTGTTGACAGATAGGACCTCATGAAACTTAAAAGCTTCTCTGCATCAACTGGGTAAAGCGGCAGCCTATAGAGTGGGAAAAAATCTTTACCAACTATACATATGATAGAGGAGGCTCAGTTTCTAAACTACAGAAAGAACTAAAAAAAAACTACTACACATAAAAGAAATAACCCAATTAAAATTTGAGGCAAGACGAGCTGGAGAGATGGCTCAACAGTTAAGAGCACTGGCTGTTCTTGCAGAGGACCCAGATTCAGATCCCAGCACCCACGTGGTGGCTAACAGCCATCCATAACTCCAGTTCCAGGGGATCTGACACCCCACTTCTGACATCTGTGGGCACTGCATGACACAGACACACTTATATACATGCAGGCACTACAATCATACACATAAAATAAAATAATAAAATTTTAAAAATGGGGGCAAGGAACTAAACAGTTATTAAAAGATGAAACACAAATGACTTAGAGATATTTTTTAAGTGTTCAACACCTTTAGCCATCAAGGTAATGCAAATTTAAATGACTTCAAAATTTCATCTTATCCCAGGCAGAATGGCTAAAATCTAAACAAATGATGACTAAATGCTCGTGAGGATGTGGGGGGAAAGGAACGCTTATTCACTGCTGATTGTAGCTTGTATTGCTGCAACCACAATGGAAATCAGTGTGGAGAGTCCTTAGAAGGCTAGAAATAGATGATCCAGCTATACCACTCTTGGGCATACACACAAAGAAGTCTATATCTTACTACAGTGACAACATGCTTATCCGTGTTCATCGCTGCTCTATTCACAATAGCCAGGAAGTGGAAATAACCTTCCCATTAACTGATGAGTGAATAATGAAAATATGGGACATTTACACAATTGTTCAGTTATTAAGAAAAATGAAATTATGAAATTTGCAGGTATATTTATGGAACTGGAAACAGTCATCATTAGTAAGGTAACCCTGGCCAAAAAAGACAAAGTTGTGTGTTTTCTCACACATGTGGTGCTAGCTCTGAATCCTTAGATACCATTTTTCAATTGAAAAATTCATAAAAGTCAGGAAACTAGCAAGGTACCATGGGTTGATGGGGAGGGGCTTTGGGGGGGGTCTCATGGGCAGGGAGATAGAATGCAGTGATAAAAAGAGAGATGGGGATAATATAGCAGGAAGGGTTAAAGTGGGTGGGGGATTAGAGGCCAGGGTAGAAGATGGAATATGGGGGAAGGGATAACTTGTTAAGGGTCCGTAAAATTCCCTAAATTGACCACTTGGACACTGAGTCTCAGTAAAAACGAGCACTTTATTGGAACCAACCAGTTGGGGATGCAGACAGTCTCGGGCGCTGTGCTGTGACGCTGAACATTAAAATCTCAGGGCTTTTAAGCAGAAAAACCGCAAAAACAAAGCAGGGGCAAAGCAGGGGCTGTCCATAGAAACTATACGCAGAATAACCAGGAAAGGATTGGAACGATCTAGGGCTGATTTCCAGAGACTTTACCTATACAGCCATTGGCTATCTTACCTAGGGCAGAACGTTCTTTCTCTGCTGCCCCGGATTATTTCCATAGAGACCATACACAGATGTATCAAGTATACTGTCATTGGCTAGCTCACCTGGGGCAGAACGTTTTATCTCTTCTGCCCCAGACCATTTCCATAGAAATCATAAACAGATACCAGGAAAGGGTTTGAACAATGAAGGGGATTTCCAGAGTCAGGTGGAGGGTAGTTTAATTTTTTCAGAGGATAGGGAGGGGGTCTGAGGGGCACTCTCTTTCAACTAACATGAAAGATCTGGTGAAAATATATGCAAACCTACTGCGGAATTTCTCTAAGCCTGTAAAAGGAAAATGAAAATAAAAACATAGAAGGAAGGGAACTGTCTGTGTGTGAGAGAGAGAAAGAGCGAGAAATATATATAGAGAGAGAGAGAGAGAGAGAGAGAGAAAGTTTAAATGAAGTTACCCCATAATGGGAAGACAGTGCCTATACCAGACCCCTCAGGCTAGCATGTAAAATGCACAATGCCAGGAATGGACTCCCTCAGTTGTTGACCAAGGGGGTCCCTCAGACCATCAAATAATATCTGTTGGTTACCCTCCAGAATTTGGCAGTAAGGCCCTGGTGCTAAAGACACTGCATAAGTGTTAGAGCATGTAGAGATCCAGTTCGTACTGACCTGTCTGGTCTTCATAGTGCTGGAAGGTGCTATGCATTCTTCTGGAAGAGAAAAATAATCCTCAGTCTTATCCAGCTTCAAACCCTGGGAACTATAACAGTGACTATCCTGGGAAGATCTGACCACTGGATGTACTAGAGGCAAGGATCTGTGGGAAGAACTTAATCACATTCTGATTGAATTAAGATCCTCTTCAGAAAGTGGAGCCCACACCTGGCACTGTTATTGGGGCCAATAACCTATAGCTAGACAGGTCACCTACCATAGCAGAAAACCTACTAATGCTTTTCTGCTAAATGACCCTGTTATTAAACCTGCTCTTAATAACTTATCACTGTACCCACAGATTAGTTCATCTTATGACTCTCATCAGAGAGAAGCTTGTTTTTGCAGCAGATGGTGAATAACACAGAGACCCTAAACTGGTCATTTATGCAGAGAATAAGAGATCAGAGTGCTCAGACATAAATGGGATATTTATATCATACCCCATCCCTAAAGGGTCTGGGAGGGTCAGGCAGGAGGAGGGAGACTGTAAAAGCCAAAGCTGGTTGGTCAGTACAACAAAACAGTATTTTCCAGACTCAGCAGGGCAGTTGCACAGCTGAACGGACAGTAGTTGTGACAGCAAGCATAAGACTTATACAACCCTAGCCAGACAGAACCTCAGCATGAAACGGGGAGGTGCACACAAAGCCTCAGCCCTAGCTAAGGAACTCTTATCCAATGACTGCTGGGTGAGGGAGAGCCATTTTTCTTTAAGGGTTTGGTACCTGTAAGTTGACCACAGTCTAGGAAATAAACCTACCCAAGAGTATTTGGGGAACACAAATTGGATTCAATAGGGAGGGAGGGAGGAGCATGTGCTTGGCCCTGGGTTCAATCCCTGAGGGAGAGAGGGAGGGAGGGAGGGAGGGAGGGGGAGAGAGAAGGAAGTGGGGCATGTTGATAGCATTTACCTGAAAAGAGATGGGGGAGGGGGCTGAATATCATCAAAATTCATTGTTTCATTGTATGAAATTCTCCAAGAATAAATATATTATAAAATTTCCTTTGACAAATTAACGTTTTTATTCCTAAGACAGCCAACTATTACATATCTCACCTCCTGCAGTCGATGCCTTCACTGGTTTCTTGAGCATTGTCATTAAGACAGTTGTTTCCATTCAAATGCCATTTATGTTTGAGCAACAGTTTTCATAGATTTTCATGATTGATGTTATATATTTAAGTTACCTAAAAATGGCTTTTAGTTGATATTTTGTATGTAACAAGCATTTTAATTAGCATAGAGTACGGGTCAGTGAAATGATGGCTTTAAAAGTTCTCTATTTAAAATGTTTACTCGAGTGTTGTATTTTTAAGAAGTTTCTGGAAAATATAGAGTAATAATTTTACTTCTTTCCTTTTTTATCCTTTAGGGCATTCAAATATCAAAGCCTTCCTAAGCCATGGTGGTTTGAACGGTATTTTTGAAAGTATGTATCATGGTGTACCTGTAGTCGGAATCCCACTCTTTGGAGACCATTATGACACTATGACCCGGGTACAGGCAAAAGGCATGGGAATCTTGCTAGAGTGGAAGACAGTTACTGAAGGAGAGTTGTATGAGGCACTGGTGAAAGTTATCAATAATCCCAGGTAAGGTTTCAACTAGTATTGAGGCATAAGATACTGTGACACAACATTTATGTCCTATGTGTCTGCATATATACCACACGTACACACATTGGATCTCTAGTGTGTCTGATTTTGTATCTATTATTTCATTTTGATATTGGTTGTATTAGTTATGTTTGCCCTGGCTGTGACCAAGTACTGGACAAGTTGAAGTTTGAGGGAAGAAGAATTTATTTTGCTCATGGTTAGAGGGCGTAGTTCATTGTGGTAGGGGAGGCATAGCCCCAGAAGTGGCACACAACTGTGACCGTCATGGCAAGAAAGCAGAGCATGGGGAATACAGCACCATTCTGGCTTTCTTCCTCATCCTGAGGCCCCAACTATAGGACACATTCAGGTTTTCCTCCATATTAACGGTGTCTGGAAATGTCCTCACAGACACACCCAGAACTATCTTCTGGGGAAGTCTAAGTCCACTCAGGTTGACAATGACGGTTAGCCATTACACTCATCAGAGCCTTGAATCACAATTTTCACTATCCACATTGCAGAAATGAGGCACCTCAGAGAGCCTCAGTAACTTACCTTCAGTTGTACAGCTATTAGAAATTAAACTGAAGCCAGAATGATCTGACCCGCTTCATGCTGCTTGGGAAACAGGTATTTCCCAGCACTGGGTTTTGCTGAAATAGTGAAATGTATTTGCTCTTGTGAATAATGAATTTGAATCTTTATTTCACCTTTTAAATTCTTTATTTTACTACCTTGCATTTTTTATGTGTATGAGTGTATTGCCTGCATGTATGCAAGTGCACCCATGTCAGGCAGTGCCCAGAGAGTTCAGAAGAGTGCATCAGATCCCCTGGAACTAGAGTTACAGATGGTTATTAGCTGACATGTCAGTGCTGGGAATCAAACCCGGGTTCTCTGCCGGAGTAGCCAGTGCTCTTAACCACTGAGCCTTCTCTCCAGTCCCTTGCCTTTTAAATTCTTTGGGTGTCCTGAATTAATCCACTTAAAAAAATGAGTTGCAGAGGGTAGACAACTGGCCTGGGTAGCTTTAAAATGAAGCAACAATTTTCCTTATTTGAAGACATGATATTTAGTGCATCATGTGCTTCAGGTGACATTAAAGACTGAAGAGAGTAATCTTTTCTGTTTATACCTGAGCAATTCTATGACATACCAAGGGTTGAGTGTCACTGCCATATTCTGTGAAACACCACATGAAAAATTGTCTCTTACATGTTGCAACTTACATCTAAAGTTATGGAATCATTGTGTTACCTGTATGTGAGCTCAGAGATGGCCCTTGGCACAGAATGTGCTGACTCAGGGTGTTTCTTGTGTATCTTTGTGTAATCTGCTGTTTCCTTTATAGATCTAGTGCTGTTCCGTATCTGTGTTCTCAGTGAAAAAAATCTTTCATATAGACTTGTAAAATCTAAAAGGAGAGTTTTTTGAGGGGGAAGAGTTGCAGAGCTACTACCATTGGGCCATGTGTATAGCAAAAGGAAAATTAGTTAATTTATAGGAAGTCATACAGTAGGGCTGTCTGTATGTTTGTTTTGCTGGTGAGGATGGAACCCAGGGCTCTGGACGTGCCAGGATATCCCTAGCTCAGTCAAGTACTGTACTCTGACATTTGAACCAGGATGAGGTAGAGATCTATCTGGCTGTAATTAAATTGCAATTAAACTCTAACTACAGAATCTTGAAGCACACACACAGAAGTAGGAAGATGCCTTACTTAATATAGAAATGGCAATGATGCCCGAATTGTGTCCTTTGCTAAAAGTTACTATAAAAATGGAAGTTGTTTGTTTGACAGATGGCGAATGCTCCACTTCAACAACTGTTAGAGTCTAATTTGCTTCCCTCATATTTTATCCAGGATGTTTTAGTTTAAGTCAAGTAACTAATTTTGCTAAAGAAGTAGTTTTTTTTGCTTTTTAAACCTATAATTTAAATGTTATTACAATCCTGCTTTATTAGTCCTTGTTTGCTTAAGAACACCCACCACTTTTCTTGTAGTAAAGAGCCCTTTAAAGTCTGGGAAATGTACTATTTTAAAGCAAGCAGTAGACAAAAATGAGTTAATCATTATACCACATATCTAAACCCATGGTCAACTTTTCTACAAGAAATACCTCCATAAAATGTCACGTGATATGTGATGTCTGAAATTCTCTGTTACATTTTTCTATTTGGAAAATGCCCTTTTACACTGTGTGTGCTTTTTAAAATAATGGAGGAAGTGTCTCTGTTCCCTTTTGTTATCAACTCTGTAGAAACCAGGATAAGATGCAAAGCATGATGTAGATGGACTCTTAATGTTTGAGTGAAATTTTATGCTGTTGGCAACTAGATTCATTATGCAGGAGACACTGATGGCAGCGTTAGACATGCCTTTGAAAGTTGAGTCCTGTCATCACACGTATATAGAAAAACGCTACAGCGTCTTGGCTTGCCCCTTCCATCGGCCCTCATGCCCTCTGTTCACTGCTTGTCATCCTTGTTGTCATGTTGTTACAGGCTTAATATGTAGAGCTAGAGCTAAACCATAAAAGCATCATCAATCAACTCCTGACTTTCTGTAGGGATGGTTCATGGGTCACTGTGGTCACCATCGCTCCTGCTGCTGCTTGGATCATCTTTCCATCACATCCCATACTGATCACGCCTCGCCCATTGTAGTGTGCTATAGCTTCAGGGGCACCACCACCGGCATCCAGGTGGCAAGCATTGTAGCTGCTTCTGGTATCTCCTTTATTTTCACATTTAATCTGGAATCTCACCAACTCCTGCCAACTCTTCCACACTCTTCCGCGTCCCTCATGTGGCTGAGTCCACTCATGCTTTTCACCACTCATGAGGTCTTTTACATGCACTTCCCACCAGCATGATCTTCCTTTCTGGTTTACTAGCCAGTCGCTCTGATCTAATGGCTCCCTGGTTCTAAGATTTAAGCTATGTATTTTGTCATTCAGCCTTGAGAAATCATCCCTTGTATTGCGTACTATTTGTGAGTGGATCTCCCAGCTCTGTGATTTGCTTCACACTCTTCCCTTAGCATGCCATGCCTTCAGATACCTCTAAACTTTTGTTTCTATTGAGCACAACTCAAGAGCCATATCCTTTGTGATATTTTTTCTATGTTTTCTCAAGGTAGAACTTATTTCTTATATCTAAGCAACATAAACTTCTTTTAGGGACATGAAGTCAAAGAGACCCTAGCCATTGTGAGATTGTCCCACGAATGTGCAAACTATGCGTTCTGATTTTAAAATAAAATGCTTACATTATATTTATTCATGTATATGGATTTTAAAAATTAACCATTTAAGAATGGGTTTTCTTTATACTCACGCACAGCCTTGCCTGTATGCACATCTACCGTATGTAATGTCATATGCCATATCCTAGGGTTCTGCAGCCCTTTTATCTCTGCACTATAATATCTTCACACAATCATTTAATGTTGCTTTAAGTTAAAGAACTATGTTTTCACTATCTTTTTTTGTAGAATCTGATAAATTTGTGCCCTTTTCTGTTGAGAGGTTTTGATTAATACTGGAGAGGACTGTGTGGGATATGATATGAAAAGAGCACAGTGCTTGGGTCAGAAAAACTTAAATCTGAATTTTGCCTTTGGAATCATCTCAAGTTACTGGGTCTCTCTGGTTTTGTTTTTCTTCACTTAATGAAAAATAATTATTTTCCACATTTTTATGTTGAGCTATCCATAAGTATTGAATCCACAAACCCACACCTTTCTGTGTCTGTTCCCCACCCTAGCTATCGACAGAGGGCTCAGAAGCTGTCAGAAATTCACAGGGATCAGCCTGGTCACCCTGTCAATCGGACTACCTATTGGATAGATTATATTCTTCGCCATGATGGAGCCCACCACCTGCGTTCCGCTGTCCATCAGATCTCGTTCTGTCAGTACTTTCTGCTGGATATCGCCCTGGTGCTGTTGGTTGGTGCTGCCTTGTTATATTTTCTTTTGTCCTGCGTGATAAAATTTATCTACAGAAAAATCAAAAGTCTGTGGTCTAGAAGTAAGCATAACACAGTTAATGGACATTACCAAAATGGAATCCTTAATGGCAAATACAAAAGAAATGGCCATATTAAACATGAAAAGAAGGTGAAATGAACCAGCAGCCCAGGTGATGGAAACAAGGTGTTCAGTCATTGGTTTGTATTGCTATGCATTAGTCTAACAGCTACTAAAAGTAAAATGTCAGTAACAGTTCTAGCACTCCCTTAGCAAATCTTACTAATGAAATGCTGTGGATATGATGGTAAAGAGCACAGACCTAAGTCCAAAAATGCATTTTATTCAAATACCGATTCAGAGACTTGACACTGAGCCTTTTAGAAGCCTTAATTATTTAAATCAATTAAGTGACTGTGTCAGACCTTAGTTGTAAATGTTATGTGTGCATTACAGATGAGGAATGGTGTTTTTTTTCTTAATACTGTGTGTGTGGGTGTGCGCGCGCGCGTGCGCACACGTGTCTTCTGCCATAGAGAATTTTAGCTGACTGCTTGTTGTATTCCTTGAAAGTACAGCATATTCAGGAATGAAGCAGAGAAACAGGGCCCAAATGTTTCTCTTCCGATGTTTAGCATGTGTGAACTTAGATCACTACTCAGTGCAAAGGTGAATGACACAGTTTTTGTATTTTGGGTTATTTTAGATGTTTTATTTGTTTTGTATTACCCTTTTCTTATCTACTATGGACACCTGGAGGAAACATTTAATGTCATAAATGAGTAAATCAGTTGTTATATTTTGCTTGTGTTTTCCTCATACCGATAATTTTTCTTTGAGAGAATTTTATAATTATTTCTGTTGTATTTTAATAAGTAACAGGTTAAATGCATAATTAAGATGAAACAACAAAGCTCTGACTTTTCATCCAAATACTGAAGATTATTGCTCACCTGGCAGTTTGAGACAGGGTCACTGGCTTTTTCGTAAGTAGCATTTTGAATATTCAGGCTTCACAGTTCCAAAATTTTGCCTTTACAATACCATCGTCTTTATTCCTTCTATTGTCGAGGTCACACAATCTAATACATGGGTGCCAACATTTAGTTCTTTTAAGCAAAACATTTATGATTACTCTTCCTGGTAGGTGCTCTGTCTGCAGGGGCTGGAGGTGCTTGGTAGCAAGGCAGACTTCACATGCTACACAGGAGTGACAGGATTGAGTGGAATGACCTGTATATGCAAATAACTTCCCATTTCCCTCCGCACTACTTCAGCCCCAGCTCTGCAGCTGCTTCTGGTCAATGTGTCTGACGTGCAACGGTGACAGTATTCATTTGGAACAGGGAGGCCCAAGTGACAACCCTCGTAAATCAGGACCTCTCTGCTACACCACTCACTAGATACAACTGTAAGCTTACTCCAAACCACTCTGTTTACTCAGCCTTTGCAGTACACATGCTGAGTGTGTGCTTTATTTATTTGTGGTTGGAAAGCCCACATCTACACTTGAGAGTTGAAAAATGAAATATGTACTTAATATCATTCACTAACATGGAAGAGTCATGAGAGCTCTAGAATGCTGTAAAATCTTGTCATACACTATGACATACAACTTCATGACATGCCCACCAGGAGCCACTCTCCTAGTCTTAGAAATATTATCTCTGTAATTTTCTAATGCACAGTGAAGATAAGTGTACTGCTTTTGGCATACTTGAAGAAATGGTACTATACATATAAACCCATTCGTTATATCTCTTCACAATCTTATCACCATGTTGCCCTTATAAGGGGAGAAAGGCACAGGCAGTGAATGGTGGGGTGGTAACAAGATGTAGAGTGTATGAATGAATTGATTTTACTTTTTTGGCATTTGATGAAGTTGACAGTAGGCACTGACTAGATGATTAAGCATAAGTTAATTTCCACTGTGATTAAAAATCTTAAACAATAAATGATTGAAAATAGAGAAATGTTGTTGGAATAAAATTTTTATTCCTGTTTTTATTTCACAGTATTATATGTAGGGATGTATTCACTATAAACATGTTTCTAAGGTAGCCCAACTTTTGTATTATGTATATGAGTGTAAAAGCAATATTAAATGTGAGACTATCTTTAATAAAAGTTTAAATGCAGGGATTTACCTCAGAAGTACATCAACATAGATCCTTAAATTCTATCCCAGAATTAACTCTTTTCTGATCTTTTTTTTAATTTGGTTATTTTCATTTTATATGTATGAGTACAATGCCTGCATGCATGTAAGTGTACCTGTGTTGTGCAGTACCCACAGAGATCAAAAATAACCACCTAATCCCCTGAAACTGGAGTTAAGGATGGTTGTTAGCCACCATGTGGGTGCTGGGAACCAAACCCGGGTCCTCTGCAAGAACAGCCAGTGCTCTTCCACAGAGACAGCTCTCCAGCCCCTTGTTTTGTTATTGTTGCCCACCCCCACCTATCTCCCACCCTGGACTCCCAGGAAGCCCATTATTAGCCAGTTTGAATAAATAGGCTGTTTAAAATTTTTTTGCACTTGGACTAAATTCTCTAAGTTTCCAAGAAAGTGTTTCTTCCTTCACTTTGTAGAGTAAGTCTCTGGAACAACATAAGTAGCTGGCTGTCATTTCATGGAACACAAACAAAAATTAAGGTATTTTTCCTCTGAAATGGTGACTTATCCCAGCAAAGGCATAAGGCAGGGATTTGAATGTTCAGGGTTGGAAAGAGCGAGTGTCAGAGTTGGACGTGACACTTCATCGCTGATTTTCATCAAAGATCAGCCTCTCATGAAATCCTCGTAAGTCTCTGGAACAACATAAGTAGCTGGCTGTCATTTCATGGAACACAAAAATTAAGATATTTTTTCCTCTGAAATGGTGACTTATCCCACCAAAGGCATAAGGCAGGGATTTGAATGTTCAGGGTTGGAAAGAGCGAGTGTCAGAGTTCGAGGTGACACTTCATCGTTGATTTTCATCAAAGATCAGCCTCTCATGAAATCCTAAAATACTGCTAAAATTGAATGACTCTACTTGAATAAAAGGTTTAAGAGTGGAAGAACCGTGAAACTGGGCTGTTAACACATCACGACCCTCAGCACCTCTTCCCCAGCCTGTCCCCCTAACAGAAAGAACCAAAATAATTTGAAAAACAACTTCAAGCAATAATTTAGTGATATGTCTTATTGAAACTGTAATTCTTTTTTCATTCTTACTGTTAAATAATTCAGTTGGTTTGTAAATATATAATCACATTTCACAGTGTTCATTTGCAACTGGTATAATCAACAATAATTTGAAGGAGAATACTTTTAAATCTTACATGTTGAAGTACAGGTTTATAGGAATTCCATTGTGGAAATGTTCTCAAAATAATGCCTTAGAGAGTTATCCTGCTTCTGAGATGCTTAATTTTAGGTAGCTTTTAAGGACATGTGTTCCACCTGAATATGCTATTGATATTTTTGGTGGTCAACAATATTGTTTAGTAAGAAGTGCTCAGAAGTTCATGTAATTAAAAACTTTATACTGCCATTTAGCTAAAAACCCTGCTAAATGTTACAGTCAGTTGGATGTGTGTGTCGCCGACTTAGGGGCTTAAGGGTGAGTGGTAGCACAAGTGTGGGTGATCTTGGTCTTTAAAATACACAAAGTGAAAAGCACATGATAATTTTAGCATACCCTTTCTTTGGGATGATTCAGATATGTTTTAAGAAAGAATTCACATTGTTGTTTGCAAGATTTTGGACAATCTATCTGAATAGTAAGTAAAAAAAGTTTCAATTGAGTATAATCCAAATTTGGACTGAAAAATCACAACT